TACTGCTATCAAGGCATATGTTACTACAATTGTACAGGGACATTACGGTAATTGATTCATTATTCAAAACAGTGGTGAATAGGATATCAATATTTTTGTAATATGTATTAGGAAGCAGCGCTTAGTGTTAAGGATTTCGAAATCTGTCAACTAACTTTCTATTCTGTTTTATTACTATATCAGCTTAATCGTGATAATGAAATGTTGAAAAAAATAAATTGATATTTGTTTGGTATATTGTAATTGTTATAAACTTCCGATCCAAGTATTTTGTCGATTATTTCTTATTGATTGGCTGATTATACCAATACGGATATTGAAATTAAGTTATATTTTAAGAATGATGTTCATAGAACGTGAGACATATTTATAACAATGTTAAATGGTAAGTAATTCTGTAAATGTGAATTCAATTTTGTTTTGGTCATATACTTAGATGAACCTGAGAAACTAACAAATGACTGGGAAATACAAGACTGGATAAAGGAATTAGTCACACCAGCTCCTCTGGGATTTGGTATAAAGGTAGGAACTGAATATGTACTGTGTTAGTTGATCGAATTCAGTATACAGCTTTGTTGGCATCGCCCTTCTATATTATGCTAATTGACTTCAATGCTTTCATTGTTTATTTTTAAGGGTATTCCAATTACTGGTGACCAATTTACGAACACCAATGAAGTCATAGAAGTCATCACAACTACTATATTTATCTGTAGTGTGGGACATGCTGCTGTCAATTTCAACCAGTATGATGAATATGCCTCTCCTTTAAGATACCCCCTATTTCTCCGCGGACAACCACCTAAATCGGCTCAGGTAATCTAAATAATTAAAATGAATCTAATCACTAGTGAAAACCACGTGATGTTTTTTTTTGTCTTCAATAAATGCTTCATTCTTTCTAGCATCGCGTCTACTTTTCAAACGAGCGGTAGACGCAATGATGTGATGAGAAAACAAAGGAAGCTTATTTGGGAGGCAAAACACGTCACGTGGCGCTCTCGTTCTCGTTCTCAACGAGATCCTAGCATCAAAATTTGCGTCTAGTGTGTATTTATATATAAAAACGCCACGTGTGAGTGTGCAATGAGACTAATGATGGTCAGTTGCTTTATATACATAAGAAAATCACCTGGTTCAGACCCCTTCCAACTCACGAACTATTATGAATAGTATTATGAATAATGGTACTATGCAATTAGCTTACGTTTGTTAAACACACTACTGATCCAATTATTATTTAATGCACATTTACGTACACGTGACCAGCTTAGAAGAAGTTTCGATCATACATCAACGTTGCCACACTTTGGTTACTATTATGTAATTGAAAATATAATATACGTGACAGGCATTAGTGGAGTCATTTACATTATATATTCGCATCTGAACAACATAACTCTATTTAATATATTTATATATATATATGCATACATTCAGATTGAGTTGACGGAAGCTGACATCTTACAACATTTACCGTCAAAAGATTTGGCTTTAGAAGCAGCCGTGTTGTCAAAAACGCTGAGCAGCCATGGTACAACATCGCTGGGTGATTTCAGTGAATTATTCCAGGCAGATCCAATCAGTATTCCTGCATTACAAGAGTAAGTATTTTGTTTTTTTATCACAATGAAATTAATGAAATGTATGATATCTTGGTTCAAATATTACATCATCAATTGGATATAATAACAAAAATAACAAAACTAGGGTTTAGCCTTTCGTCAAATTGTTAGTTGGCCTTCGAAAAAGGGGATGTTTTTATAATACTTGAATTACTTTATTTCAGATTCAGAAAAACTTTGAAAGAAATAGGGAAGGTTATAGACACCAAAAATGGAGAACGTAAAGCAGAGTATCCATATCTGCATCCATCTGGACTGCCCAATGCAATATCAATTTAATATGCCAATAGGCTGTGAATTGTGGACGACTTTGATCTTAATTTTCAACCAATATTAATTAAATAATTTATATTCAATGCCGAGGTATGTCTCCTTCAAAATATTTTAAGACAGAATGTGATTTAACAAGTAGTTTTCCGTTTCAAATTGACCAGTAAGCAAAACCATAGTTATATAAAGTAGTTTTGCTGATATTTAAAGTTTCATGTTCTGAATTTATACTATTCGCGATGAAAGTGAATTTTGTTTGGTATAGTGAGCTGTGTTAGCAGTATGTCTGTCACTAAGTAAAAACATTAACATAGAATTCACAAAACATTATTATTAGTGACATATTATAAATATTACGAATAAAATGACCAGCATTATTAGCATTTGTTTAGATACTTATTGTTGAGTGGAGTATAACATTTGTGTCAATTGTGGACCAAAAAGCCATTTTGGGGTAATATTATAGCCATGTTAGAAATATGTTTGTCTTTGTGTAGTTTTTATTTTAGTTTATATTACATTTATATAACATGATTTACAACGTATTAATCAGTTAGCAATAGTATGAATGTAACTTACATTAATTTGTTCTTTCTAGATTGTAACATCTGAATATATTATAGCATTTGTGTAAATGAAGGTACGTTCAATTGGGGCAGTGGGCAAGAAAACCATATTACAAACATGTTTGCCTTTGGGTATAATTTACAACATACTGATAAGTTAATGACCTTTTATTAATAATATGAATATAATAACTAGCATTAATTTGGAATTCTGATTTATTAACTGAGAATTGATTATAGAATGTGTGTGAATGAAAACGATGTCATTTCAAGAAATTGGAGAGCCCTCTTACATGCCTTTGTGTGGTATCTTAATAAATTTACAACATATTTCCTAGATAAGGATTCGCTTATAGGCAATAACTGACATTTAACGTCTATGATTAGATTCAGACTGCTGATTTGATTCCAGCATTCGTGTGAAGAAAAGCTACGTCTTCTGGGATTGTATAGCTGTATTACCAATTTGTTTTTTTGTTTCTTGATATTTACATATTATTTACATCCTATTGTATTATTCGGTCTGTAATCACTTACAAACAATATAAAGTAAATGGTAATAATGCATTATGCTTAGATTGTAATTTATTGCATGATTTGTATTCGTGTAAGTGAATTGTGATTGTGTGGCATGGGGTACTAATTAACTCCTGTTTAGTTTAAGCATATATACAAGGCATAATTCGATACGTCGAAAAAAACAAAGCTGCTCTCTGATTGGTCTGACTGTTAGTTTTTAGCCAATCAAGCACAATCTTGTAAATACATTCGCATTAACTCCAATTGTTTAATAAGCAGCTAGGGGTAAATACCTGAATAAATTACGACAGAAAATCTCTTGACAATTTACAATTACAAACGTTATAAAATGTTCTAGGCATAGCCGACTCTTCCCTAACGAAATCCAGAACATTAGACCTTCTGAACATCGAACCACCTGAAAATAAGACCGTCTGAACATCGAACCATCTGAAAATAACATTGAACATTGGACCGGAACTATTCGTCCACGCTCGTATGGACTGTTACCTTTAATTACTACAACAGATTATACTGGATTAATTTTTTATTAGTTTGAATATAGTTTGTGTAACCTAACTCGATTTCTGCCGCCTATGAAAGTAGGTAATGAACGTAGTTTTACACACTCTTCCTTCACATTTATTATCACTGGAGACCTGTAATTAGGCATTGTTGAAATTGGTAGAGTTAGAATTTACCTCACTTTTCGATGATTCATATATATGGACTTTTCTCAAACTCAAATAGGACCCTCCATTATATTTTGGGTGTGCATGATTTGTGCCAAACAATGCCCGTAGCCATTATTTTTCTTCGGGGGGAGGGGGGTTCTTATCACTCTCTGAGGGACCAATGAAAAATTTTGAAAATTGAACTTTCTGAAATGGCATTTCCTGCGTTTTTGAGAGGATTTCAAAGGAAAAAGCAGAGACACTTACATATTACATGACTGCTTCAGACAATATTTGTACCTGACCACCGACACGAAAACTTGATGCTTTACAAGGCTCTTGTGTTTTAAGTGTTTTGCCTCTTAGAAATGGGGGAAACCACGTCATGTCCAGTGGCAGGCAGTTGGTCGCCGTCATCCACATGCCGCCAAGTGAGATTTCCGGGCGCCGTTTACCATAGTAACAGCCAGGTGTCACTTTTTTGACTGGAAGAGTGTCGCGTACCGGGGCGTGGTTCACTGCGTTCCACCACTTTCATGGCGTGAAAGTTGTTTTTACGCGTGCCGCGTCTTTACCAGTATAATACGGACTCGGGAATACCTAACTGTAAACGGCAGGGTTCATCTTTATTCTATGACAAAGTGATCAATTTTTCTAGGACTTCCAGCGCCGCTGGTGATTCAAATTAGTCCGCCTTTTAAAAAATATTGTGCATTAAAAAAAGACGGACCTTCGAGCGCGCATGGGGGGGGGGGGTTGTCCGAACCCCCTGAACCCCCTGGTTAAGGGCATGCAAACTATGCCACGTTGTATAATAGGTTATTCCCTTTTCAAATCTGAGTTGCTTTGGTAGCTGGGAAATGGTAAAACCAGTCAGTATCCAGCTATAACCACAATCTGAAATGTCATACAATCCATATTTCTCAGTAATATCGTTTTCACATATTTAAAGCGGGTGGGGCGGCACCTGCGCACGCGCGTGAATTTAGTCCCAAGCGGACGACAACAACGCACGCTAAAAATGCAAAGGCTCATGGGTAAACGCTTAGTTGTAAACAATGACACGCTATGGCCATCTGACGCATGCGCAGGTGACGACTCCCCGCTTTAACCTAAGCCTTGTACTTGACAACCTGATGGATGATTGCAACGCAATACCCTGTTTATAATATTTAAAAGCACACAAACAATGCTAAAATGTGTTTTAGTTAAAACCCTATCGAAAATATATTCACGGTAGGTTGAGGGCCAATGGGCAAAATGCAAATCACACGGAATTAAGTATTTACTAATATCTAAAAATATCAAAATAATCCGTCTCAAAATGCTAAACAATCTACATGGTAGACTGTTGCAGTGAGTAGACCGTCGTAATAGTAATATTGCGTGAATTTCACTGTTTTCTTTATATTTGATGATTGTACTGACATAAAAGACTAGATTCTGTTTTACCAGGCTGACAGGTGAGTAATTGTCGTCTTGTTGGGGGGCATAGTACGTTTAAGTACGACAAATCACAGTTATCGAGGCATATTGACATGTAGTTAAATGTAAAATACCAAAAAATAAAACTGAACCCATACAAACCGGGTATAAATTTTTCTCACGTGACATAAACTGAACAAAGACAATGCCAAATATGAGCAAGAACATCATGCTACGTAGTGCTCAACATAAATTCCTACGTTTTGAGGATTAAATAATAATGTTATTTTTAGCATGGGATGTCATTACCCTGATACTCGACCAAATGAACGTTATTTCATGAAAACAAATGTATACGGTTATTGTTTGCTATATTCTAATAATCGTCGTCGACAACACACATATGGAACGCGATAATTTATTCATGTTTGATTTTCTTATTACCTGTTTCACGCAAAACGATACTCATTATTGTTTTATTTTTTAGTAATCTCCTGTGGCTTTATTGGAATGATTTATTTGCGTTCAGGACTGAAATGATTGACCCTGTGGAGCATGAAGTGCTATTCTCTGTCGTTTATCTCCGAGCCAGTGCTGCATGGGCATTGTTTAATTTCCCATAAACCATTGCGCGCATGTTTTGACATGCACGTGACCAGACAGTGCGATTCATGCCCCGCTGTCATTGAGCTGAAATAACTAAAAAATAACTGTGATAACTGACAGTTGGTTCTCGACGAAAGTTGAGGTGTGGCGTGAAATTGAAAACGTAAATGGAGTGCATATATCATTAATTCGGGATATCTATAGCAACCCTATTATTTATATAACAAATATTGTAGCAAATTCCAAACCCCCAACTACTAGTAAAGTTAGTAAGAGTTGATGTTCGAAAAATTGTAACAATCGTTCCACCGCCCACCCTAAACACTCCTGTATCACACACGCGTTTTAGTCGATATCTGAAACAAGAAATATCCGAATTAATATAATTCTTAATAAGTAATATTTTGTAAAACTGAAGAACATAAACAACTCTTTCTTGGCAATTGACGGTCTAACACGATGTGGATCGTTAGATTCATTTGATGTGAAAACAAAAATATAGTAGGATATGATTAATTGACGGCGAAAATAACATTATTCACTATTCCACATTTATTTAGATTATATATCATACAACATTCTCTAAATATACTAAATAAAATAATGGCATTTTAATTAGAAGATAGATAACTAAATAGCCTGGATTCATTCGTAGAAATATACTACGGTATACGCCATCCTTAATTATTGAAATGTGTTTAATTACAATTAAACTTGATACTTCATGAACTTTTTGAGTACAAATCCAAAATTTTTTTGGTGAAACAACCCATACAAGTTCAGTGAAATGTTAATCGAAGAGAGCGCTGATCAAAAACAAATACATGTATAATATGATTTACAGTATCAACACCCTTTGCTTTGCAACAATATTGTTTAATAACACCAAAAACATTCAAGACAACTATAGGCGTATCCTTGAGGCATTATTCATGCTCGTGGGCCCTCGCAGTACTAACAAATATTTTTTATATGTATACAGTCTTGGCTTCACACATTTTCAACATTTCATGGCTCTGCCACAAGGAAAACATGCTAATTACTGTAAAAAGTGCAAAAGAGCATTCGTGAACGCTTTTCATAATTTGCAATGATGTACAACAATAATAATTATGATTTGGCGATGATATGCATATAATATACTATTAATAACATTTTACAAAACAATAATCTGTCCGTTTCTGTGCTAGTTATAAACACATTATTATAACTGCGGGTAAAACAGTTGGAGTTCGAACCTTAGTGTTGTAATTCGTTCTTGCGACACTTATCTACAAAAGAACGAGATTGTTAATAATATGGGGTGTTTTTGCTAACAATTTGCTAAACATAGTGTTACGTGCCACGTAATTAAGCCTACTCTGGCAGTTAACACTTCTGACATCATTGGAAACACAATACAAACAATCAGGGCGAATTTTTTTCTTCAGAAACACGCCACCTATATAGTGTCCATACTTCAAATTTAATGCACAAACTCTGGGAGCTATTTAAGATTGAACCCCTTTCATCAACTGTAGAACCAAGCTGATTTAAATATCATGAATGCCTTAGTGGTTTGAAAATTTGAAATTGCTTTTTTATATGTTCTATTTGTGTAGTCAACGCTGTACGAATATAGAAGCAAAACAAAACACATAAGTTTAGGAACCCGAATGCCCACGAGCTCGCATCTGTAATTTAATTACTATAGACAATCAGCAACATTGGTGAATGCTAAAACACACATTTGAATTGCATCAAAAGCAATTGTATATACCGTTACATACAGGAAAGTATGGGCAACGCGCTGAAGAAGGCAGACTACATAGTGAAGGTTAAAACTGGAAACCTGGTTGGTTCTGGTACTGATGCAGATGTTCATATCATTCTCTACAACGAATCTGGACAAGCGTCGAAATCAATCGAGCTAGACAGTAGCAGTAATGATTTCGAGCACAATCATACCAGCACTCTCGAAGTGTATGATTTGCCGAATTTCGGTGGAATAGCTACGATAGAAATATGGCGAGATTCTTGGCTGGGTAACCATTGGTATGTCGATTACGTCGATGTTGAAGACGTGGTACAAAAGAGGGTGTACCCATTCCCGATTCAACGATGGATCACAAGACGTCATCTAAAAATCGACAAGTATGATAGTAGTCTGCCACAATTTGCAGGACACCCTGAGCAGAGACGAAACGAACTTGACCGTGAACTGAATAAGTACCAGTTTGTAGTTGTAAACGAAGGTTTGCCGCCATCGGTAAGATTATTTATATTATAAGAACAACAATGAACTGTCCACTGTGAACAGTATGAAATCATCTCGTCATTAACTATTGCATAATAATAATTAAGTGTTAATGTGTGATCGCCAATGATAGACTGACTCCAGAAGTTGTTTACGTAGAATTTTCTCCCGCGTAAAGTAGCAGTAGATGCACTGAACGCTACTACAGTACACCAGTACGTCTGATGTAATAATGATGTATTAACCACAACGGAAACGGCGCAAGTAGTAATAGCGCAAGTAATAGTGACTGAATATATTTTTTTCGGAAAGAAATGAGTTGGGGTAGAGAACGACTCGCCTTAAGCGAAAACTGTGTGATGCAAACAAGGTCATTTTATTAATAGTTATTCAAGCCAAAACATGATTCCGAACTTTAATAACTCGACATGGAATATTTTCTGAAGAAGGTCGAGGCAATGCATGCCATTAAGTCTGACTATTTTTCCAAACACGATTCTCAAGTTTTCTCTTATGATATTATGCGGCAACCAAACACAATAGAGAAGGTACAAATGGTGTCACAGACAGTTCTCACGAATTTATGAAGGAAATTCTCATATTGTTTGCATTCTGTATTAATCGTACAAGCTGGACTTAAAAAACGAAAGTTTCATCAATCTCATATTTCATAAAGTTAGCCATATGTAATACACTAAAATATCATGTACGTTACTGTTTCAGTGCTGAGATAAGTTAATATTATGTTCTGAAAAGGCATTTCAAATACAGAGGAAAGCTAAATATGAATTTTGTTATAACCACGAAAACAAGTTATTAACAATTTGTGGAATCAATTTACGTTATCATACACATAAACGGTCTGCTTGTGAAACGTTATGCTCTATAAATATAACTGATGTCCCAAGTTATAATGTAGTTATCCAACACTTATCGCATATGACAAATGCATGGTAGAAAAACTACTGCATGAACTAATGATATTTGAAGTGGTTCAATTACGTGCACATTTCTTGTGATGATATGTACATTACCCCCACCGCATGTTTTCATATTTATAAAAAGAACCCATGGGCACCAATTTGCATGAGAATATTATCGACACACATATTGTTGTGTGATGATAAATGCTTGTTACTGAAATATATGTTATCGTGATAGCGAACTGAGGGAAATCGGAGAAATTATTTTAGCTTTAAGCTTACTACGAGTTTTGTGCTGCCTATCAATCAATGAAGCCAAACATATGAAGTGGTTCTAAAAAAAACTCCCTTAATGGTTTTGATTGTGAAATAATTTTCAGGGCAAAACAATGTGTGTGATATGTTTCAAATTACTGTTGTGCTGGTAATTGCTGATTTCGATGACGTATCTGTAAGATAACGCATATTTCAGCAATGTAATATTGCATTCGATTGTGGTAATTATTTAACAAACGTCTAATGATTAATTTACTTGTTTTACTATCAACGGATTTCCCAGTCGTTGATTATGCACAATTCAACACAGTATAGTAGGTTGTATTCTGAGCTGTATTAATTACATTTATTCTGCCGCGGGTAATTATAATTTTCTTTACATGGACATATCACTTTGATAGTGAGCTGTTATTAAGGTATGGTTTAAGTAGTACAAACAAGGCAAATAAAAGGAAAATACGTCATCCCTTCTTCAGCCAGTCGAAAGGAATGAATGTCCCGGGGAATAACTTTCATATGACAATGGTTTCAACACTGTTTAACATATTACAGGGTTCGTGAACGTGAAGGGGTATACAATGAATATTGCAAAGTTCACTGTCAAATAATTCATTGTGATTTGTTTTGATCGACAGGCGGCGAAAATACCGCGGGCAGAACAATTCTCCTTTCAGTATAAGGTAATATTTTGTATTGTTTTATTATTATTTATATATATATATGACTTTTCGAATAACTTTTCATCGCATTACCTTTCTAGGATGAATATTCCATGCAGCTAATAATGTTGGTTTATTTCTGTAGTCGACTGCTCTAGCTTTCAATGTGATAAGCAAACTCACTGCGTTCTTGAACGGTATAGTCTCTTCAGAATGGAAAGCCTTGGAAGACGTGCATAATATATTCGGTGATCATTTACAAAGACCTTTGGTAAGATTTTTGCTTCTATATCCACTCCCAAATCCCAAACAAAGAAATAGTACGTCAACTATCATACTATTTTTTTTTAATAACATCACAGAATTTGGAGTTTTGGAATCAAGATTGGTTTTTCGGGGCACAAAGACTCATGGGCTGCAATCCGAATCAAATTCGGCTGTGTACCGGAATCCCAGAAAAGTAGGTTGAAATATATTGTTTCACTGTGTGTATATATTACATTTAACAAAACCAGGGAACTTATTTTGATATCAAGCACTCGTGTTTACTACATATGCTATATGTCTAATACAACTATATGTCTTATCCATAACAGCTTCGGTGTAACGAATGATATGATTGGTCACTTGCTGGATAACATGTCATTGGATGAAGCAATATCAAATAAACGTTTATTTATCGTTGACCACAAAATATTGGATGGAATCACAACCCTGGATCCTGAATGTGTAGGTTATTTTCTTACAATAATAAATTCACCTACAAAGAGCCACATGCGTTCCCAAACAGTACATTCATCGAACATATCTTATGGTGTATTTTGTAACATTCTACAAACAAAGGTATGATGCAAGACATGCAAAGTAGGATAATAAGATCATTACTCATAAATGCAATTTGAGTTCAACTGCAGAGAACAGGTGAAATATTAGATCGAAAATTTGCTTTAAACATGTATTTATATTAAATATTGAACAAATCTCGCACCATCTTAGCAATTAAACATAAGAAATCAACTCTTAACTTGATTTATTTATGTTTCATTCTAATTTTTTATCACATTAAAGGGCTGACTTTATTCATTGCTGTGATTACTCATTACTGTCAGTTACAAGTACTGTGGGTCCCCATTAGTCTGTTATTCACCAATCCCAGGTACAATGTTCCCCATTGGTCAGTTCATTGCCCATTGAAATTAGTATAATGTGCTCACATTGGTCTGTTTGTATCCATTGCATGCCTTGTATAATCCCCCCCCTCATTAGTCTGTTCGCTACCCATTACAAGCATTATGCGCTCCCATTGGCCTGTGTTTTTTTACCAATTGCAGGTATTATGTGCTCCAATTGGTCTGTTCTTTATGAATAAGGAAGATGAGTTGATGCCGGTAGCAATTCAGCTCTTCCAGCGGAAAAGCGATGATAACCCTGTGAGTTTATTCAAGGATGTATAAATGACACAGTCAATAATTTCTTCATTTAAATTTTCTATAGAGGATATATGGTCACATGACGACGCGAAGTTTGCATCCAATGTAACAATTCATACAATTTTTTATATGGTTTGAAAATAATGTAATGTAAATGTAAATAATAAGTGTGAATTTTATTTCCTGAAAACCTCTACTACACCCTCAATAGTTAGTAATCAACACCCGTGTACGTGATTAGAATTAACTACAAATCATAATTCATAATTCAGCTCATTTATACATTGGTAAATATGTATAATATTCGCAATGAAATGCAGTTAAAATGTAATCCTTTATCACCACAGCCTCATCATCTGCAAAGTAAGCGCTATATGTAATATTTCACATTCAGGTTTTTCTACCGACTAATGCGCCATACACCTGGATGCTGGCAAAGATGTATTTCAATAATGCTGATGCCTGTATTCATGAGTGCGCCTCACAACTTCTTTTTACCCACTTGGTCCTGGAGTGTTTCTGTGTGGCAAGTCATAGACGGTTATCGGCTTCTCATCCCATATTTCGACTCCTAGAGCCGCATTATCAATTCATGATAACAACAACCCAGTAAGTATGTGTCCAGCATGTATGTTAAATTGCCTTTGTATAGTACGTTTCCTAAATGGTTAACTCAAGCATTTCTGAACATTTAAACTTTCTGCTACAGCCTTGCTACGTCTGTTCTTTTGGACCCAGGAAGTCTATTAGATAACCTAATGACAGGTGGTAGAAAGGTTGCCATGGAAATACTACTTCGTTCATGGAAGGAGTGGCGGTTCGATGTAAATGGCACATTGCCAAAAGACATGGAAGCACGAGGCGTTGAGAACCAAGAAGTGATATTTAACTATCCTTATCGCGATGACGCAATGTTAATATATACTGCTATCAAGGCATATGTTACTACGATTGTACAGGGACATTACGGTAATTGTGTCGTATGGTCACATCGTAGAAATATTATTGTTTTTAATTATTTGTGAGCACTGTGTTTGTTTGTTTGTTTGTTTATTTTGAAATACATTACTGATCCACATGCTGCAATGTGTTAATGCTCATTATGTTTGTATCTTGTATTTTTTGCTTTTAAAATATATTCCTAATTGATTTTTCCAAAACGTGTGTATTTATTTTTCCGCCAGTGGCCTATTTTATTTTACATAACCAATATGTTAAAATTGAGTTTCAGAAAGGTTCTTATGTTGGCAGTAACTGTTAATTGTGTTTTGGTCACATACATAGATGAACCTGAAAAACTGACAAATGACTGGGAAATACAAGACTGGATAAAAGAATTAGTTACACCAGCTCCTCTGGGATTTGGTATAAAGGTAGGAACTGAATATGTACTATGTTAGTTGATCGAATTCAGTGTACAGACTTGCTGGCATCGCCTTCTTATGTTATGCTTACTGACTTCAATTCTTTCATTGTTTATTTTTAAGGGTATTCCAATTACTGGTGACCAATTTACGAACACCAATGAAGTCATAGAAGTCATCACAACTACTATATTTATCTGTAGTGTGGGACATGCTGCTGTCAATTTCAACCAGTATGATGAATATGCCTCTCCTTTAAGATATCCTCTGTTTCTCCGCGGACAACCACCTAAATCGGCACAGGTAATCTAAATAATTAAAATGAATCTAATCATTCTGCATTCGAGTCTCGTTTATGTGATCGTAATTTTCATTGCCAAATTTGTAAACTATAATACATATATGTACACAATACAAATAAACGTCACAATTAGGAATATGATAAGAATGTATTCTTATGCACAATTACGCACAGTATTGAGCCTGCTGTTTGAATACCCCAGTAAATTAAATCACAATGAATTGAAACATGACTATATATTAGCTGTTTATGTATATTATGCTTCTGGTTATATTTATTTAGATCGAGCTGACGGAATCCGATATCTTACAACATTTACCGTCGAAATATATTGCGTTGGAGACAGCGGTGTTGTCGCAGACGCTGAGCACTCACGGTACAACATCTCTGGGTTATTTTAGTGAATTATTCCAGGCAGATCCAATCAGTATTCCTGCATTACAAAAGTAAGTATTTTGCTTTTCATCACATTGATGTGTGTCGGAGATTGGTATGTCTTTGAATCGTGTGTGCATACATTGCTATATCATCGCACTAGTTTGCAACTTTTCGATCATAACACTTGATGTAGGATCATCAGAACAGAGTAAAATGATCAAAATTACTGGCACTTTCTCGCTATAAATTCGTTCTCAAAAACGTCCGTCATTTTGGAAATTCCGCGTGAGGGTTCCATATATGGAATTCGAGTTTCCTAATATGTCAAGGTGCAGATATCCCGTGTAATGTCGCAATATTACGACATGCTGAAACTTATAGCGATACAGTGACAAGTGTGTAATAATAGAATGAATAATAGTCTGGTATTAATATTAAGTTTCAATGATAATAACAAAAGCAATGGTTTTGCTTATTCGTCATATCTTTAATTTACCTTCGAAAAAAGAAGTGATATTTTGTAATACTGAATTGATTTTATTTTCAGATTCAGACAGACTTTGAAGGAAATAGAAAAGACTATAGACATTAAAAATGAAGAACGAAAAGCAAAGTACCCATATCTTCATCCAACAAAACTACCAAATGGAATACCTATTTAACACCCTAATATGCTGCATTGATATCTATATATACCAATATATTGCAGTTAGTTAGTTACCTTATCTTAAACCTGAACTTTATTCATTAAATGCATGTAGTCGATTTGAGATTCGTGTTAGCAATGTTTTTGTCATTGGATAGTAACATTTACATATAATTTACATAATAATGATCAGTTGGTGATCTCCCATGAATATATGAATTAGATTACCAGCATAAACGAGTGTGCAGTAAAACTATGATACTACTATGGTAGTAAAATGTATAATCATTACATAAAACGTTTAGTTGGTGACGTATTACATATAAATACAATAAAGTAACTTTCATTAATTAGATAAAATTAAATATTAACTGGTGTAAGTGAAAAAAACAATCTTTGTGATTTAAATTGTATTTTGGGGTAGTATTGTACAGACATTATAACATATAATTCAGAAAGTCAATAAATATTATGAATGACGTACCTAGCATTAACTCGATATGCTTACATAGTTATTAGTGAATTCTTTGTTGCTGTTGTGGAAATAAAGTTTTTCTCTGGGTTTGGAGATTTGCGTTCCCAATTTACTCGGTTGGTAATACCAATATATACAACTAGCAACATATTATTCAGTTGTAACCACTGATAAATAGTATGATAAAAATATCTAGCACTCTATTGTTAAGATTGGATAGTAATTTCTGGGTTGATAAATAGTGTTTGTTCGGGTTAATGGATACTTGTGGTACATATTAAATTTTGAAAATTAACACTTACATATAATTTACAAAATACTGATCATTTAGTGACCACTTATAAATATTATGAACAAGATAACTGGCAATAGTGAATAAAGTTTCTAAATTGATTATAGTCTATGTGCGAGTCAAAACAAAGTCATTTGTAGGATTGGAAAGTCGTGTTTATCAATTTGTTTTCTTTTGAAAAGTAATGATTCATTATATTTTACAAATGATTTATCAGTTAGTGACCACTTATACATATTACGAATAATACAAACTAGCACTGATTAAATAAGATTCCCTAATTACTTAGCAATTGCCGTAGCCTTTGAGCAAGTGAAACACTTCTAAGTGTGGTCAATTTAGAATTATGTAACAGTTGTAATTCTTGTTGCAAATATCTTTGTCTTTGGGTGGTAACATTTACATACATAATTTAAAACATTATCCAGTTAATGTTCAATCATAAATAGCATGAATAAAATAACTAGTACTATTTAAATACGCTTGAATATCTGAATTGTAGTCTCTGTGTATGTTTGAAAGAAGCCATTCTGATATGAATATGCTACCAAAATATTTGCCAATGAATAGTAATAATATACCTTATAGTCAATTGATCGTCTAATCACCGCTACCTGTATTCCCATAATTGCACAATACACACATGTAGCTACACAATTGCATATTTGATTTAAATATTAGAAAAAAACAGATTTTCAATGTGGCTGCCTGTTCGTTTTGTTCGTTAATAGAATAACGTTTTTACATCGAGTTGTTGACTAAACATCTTGAATGTGAGTATGTAAATACATATTTAGTTTGTTTTGAAACTAATTATTCTCTGATTACTTGTTCGATAGCATGCAGTTTTAACTAGCTGTGTAGTGAACAAAAACAAGGTTGTAACTGACAATAAATATGTAGGATACAAAGAGGGTGTATGTGGGTACATAATTACATATTTGGATTTACAATATGGCTGCCTGTCCAATTTGCTGTTTAATGGTATTCGGTTGTTTACTTCAAACTGTTCAAAGAGAAACTAGAGTGAATGCAAAGCTATTTACAAGAGTTCTGTGATTGGCTACTGAACATCTAACAGTCAGGCCAATCAGAGATCAGGTTATTGACGGTTTTTTTTCGACGTGTCAAAATCTGTTTTGTAGTTATTTGAATTGCTTTGAAAAACTTGATTTTCAATCTGGCTGCGTGTTTAATTAGTTATCTAATCCTCCACCCGTAAGTGTCACCGTCAATGTTGTTCGGGCAGTATTTATTAAATAAAATAACAAAAAGGCTGCTCGCTTACGTATTTTAACAGACGTAAGTTAATCACAATATCAATTACCTTGGTGGCGCTGTATTACAGTACACCACAATCCCAGAGTATCCCCAAAGTCATGTCATAATTGAGTTGTCGACACTGAAGCATATATTCAGAAATGTTTAGGCATCGAGAATTAAAACAAAATATTCCAAGCATATTCAATTTCTGATTGATGAAAATAATACACAGAATGGCTGAGAGTATTAAGTCAGACCGTTTTTCGAAGAGAGTTTCTTGGTCAATCGATGCCAGTTGTTTTTACTTTAATAACATTATCAATAAACGTCATTCAGGGAATACATTTGAAAAAGTAACTCATAAACAACAAGTTGAGGAGATAATAAAATATGAACAACATATGACAATCTGATAAATATATTGGATTATATTGTCCGCAGATATGAAATTATTGCGGGGAGACCAATACGCATGCGCAGTTATCACCGCCTTCAATCACATCCAACTCATATACACATCGCATTCCGCAATTGAGACGGATGTAGATATGGATACTTGGCCCTTCGCTCAACATTTCTGTTGTCGATGATCGTACCAATCTCAGTTAACGCCAACCAAAATCTGTAATTAAAAATGTATTCAATATTAGAATTGTCAATCACGTCTATTTAGACTCGACGCCGATTTCCAGTCTTTTTCCCCATTCAAGCATATATAGAAGTCTTTAGTGACTTCAACGATATATCTTGTTATTATACACAGGCCGGAAAAGGCTATTAATTCGTAATTATTCAAAAACAATTGTAATGACTACGTTTACTTACTCCTGTAAGGCAGTCACGCAGATTGGATCAACTTGGATCATCTCATCAAGATAGCCCAAAGTCTGGGATCCCTTTGTGCTCAGCACCTCTGACATGATTGCCCAACTGATGAACATATCTTTAGGGGGCAGATACTGAATAATGTCATCTTCAGTAAAGGCTTCCTGTAAAGTCAGTGAAATATAAATAAATAAATAAATAAATAAATAAATAACAGCCCATTATATTGATCACGGAAACAATACACTACGTACAATGTACGTGCTACTTGTACATTACAATTACAGTAGTAACCGTCTCCAGAGGGCGCAATTTACAGCAGGCATGCGCAACAATTTTAGCCCGAAGGTCACTCAGGTGTTTTAAGAAAATTTACAAGATTCACGTATTATTATTCAATTTGGAGTATAAATACTATTTATTCTTTACCTTGTTGGATTTGGGAGGTTGACCTTGCAGTAAGAGAGGATATCTCAATGGGCACGCGTATTCGTTGTACTGCGGCGCGTTGACTGATGCGTGACCAACACTACAGATGTATAGGAGAGAGGTGAGAACTTCTATAACGTCAGAATTATTGTTGAACTAGCCATTACCTGGAACGCCCTGGGAAACAATAAACATATACCGATTTACAAAGATACAATGCTGCACACACACAGTAACACCTTTGGTTGTACGTATCATGCAGTCAAACCGGTGTTACTGGCAACCACAACGTTAGGATCTCATGGCAATGCATAAAAAGTTACCTTATACAAAGGAAACCTGTCTGAGTGTCTACAAATGATATTTTCTATTTAATCAACACAGACAAGTATATTTTCATTCCTTTTTCAAATATCTAAATAATTTCTCCTCAAACTAAGAAACTTATTGTCAAATTGATATTCGCGAATGTAAACCTTCGTATACAGAATATCCATGGAACATTTTTTTCAAGTAGCTTGGATGATTGTATTTAGATAATTGATCGCACCGACCTTTAGGTCAAAGCCAAGGGGTTGTGGGCTGACCAGTTGTTTCGCCCAATTGTGTAGTTCCATATCTTCAGCAAATGTGTTGTCATCGTCTGTAACATAATACGCATTCGTCATGATTATTCGGAGGCGACGCAAATATTGCACCGAAGTGCAAAAATAAATGTAATTGTTTCCACTCCATAACTGCCGGAACGTGTGGCTCACAGGGCTTCCATCGAGTGACGAAGAGCCACTATGACTTAAATGCCAGTGGGGTGCCGTTAAAAGTGTCGAAATCGTTTTAAAGCGTAGTCGTTCAGACGTTTCGCTATGTTTGAGACGTCGAATCAGTTCACATGACAACCATGCAATTTGCGGCCTCTAGCGACAGCACATACTGGTAGCCATATCAACGTTTAGTGCTGTTTGCGAACACTAAAACGTCACTGTGACAAGCGTATAAATAGCGCTAAATGTTGATATGGCAACCAGTATGTGCTGTTAAAACAACATCATAATAACATCACTTACTGGGTTGTCCTCACGCATTTGTTGATACAGTTGAATTGCCACTGGAACAAGATTGGTTGTTTTGTTCAGGAAAAACAGAGCAATCGGAGCACATACCTGTAGAAATGCATTAATCAGAGTCGTATAGGTTAGTTAACAATTAGTTTTCGAATGTTTCTTGTTAATTGGATAGGATGCGTTGAAGCAAACGTTTGTAATTATACTGAGATCAATACCGGATATATGACCATTGCTCGAAGCATTATTGATATTTGTTCGAGTGCGTAACAATACCATAAGTTAGCCCTGGTATTACTAGTACGTAAATATTCTCTTTGTTACAGGTGCAACTACATCGGCAGTACAAAAACGATTCTTGCCACCCGAAAGTTGATGAGTGTGACATTAGGAAAAAAAGGGAGTTACGACAAAGCACAGTGTAGATTATATTAATATTTGCCATGAGGATTACTTCCAAGTTTCTACGTAAATTAGACCCTGTTACATCCACTTTAATGTTTCGGATCCGCCGCTCGAGTGTGTAACAGAACAGTTCTAAGATATATTTTTAGCGTCTGGCTATTTAATATACCGCGAGTTGGACAATTGTTTTTGTCAATATGACGCTGTCTCTTGACCTTGTGCGACGCGGATTGAGGCAACATTGAGGTGAAAAAATACCATGTGACTACCTGATACAACAGAATATTGCCTCAGTCGTGACAACAGTAAAACGCTGATATCTCACTTACCCGGTCAGTATCTGACGCTGATATTTCATCCAATAGTTTATGATCAATTATGAACAGTCGATTGTTTAGTACAGCTTTGTCCTATGACATATTATCGAGTAAATCTTGCAGCATGTCATTCGTCACACCAAAACTGCAATTCAACATGTGCAAGTTATGTTTATTAC